CTAACCTATTCAAACTTCTGTCTGTAATGGCTAATTTCTGAAATCGATACATTTAGGCAGTGTGACTGCCCGACTTTGAAGAGTTTTCGTGGTAACGCCACGAAGTTCACCCCCAGAGCCAGAATTCGACAGTTCCTCGGCTACGACTTGCCTTTCGACAGACACGACTGGATTATAGACCGTTGTGGAAAGGAAGTTCATTACGTGATCGATTACTACGACGGAGGACCTGTGGATCCGAAGAGCGGACGCTTCAGTATAATGGACGTTCGTCCGGCAATGGATTCTTTTCAGAACGTATGGGACCGTATGGTGGTTGCATATTGGCGAATTCGGGTCGACGTGCTAGGGTTGGACCTTAAAGCTCGGCGCCAGGCGTAACGTGCGTCCTCATACCATCGGCCAAGGACCAACTTAGTTGTTCGTTTAAATTCGTGTCTGATCTTCGGCACTTGTTTTCACCGTTGCACTTAGCGTGAATTCGATATTCTTGATTACGTTTTAGGTCTCAAACATGTTGTTGAATTTTGGCACTTAGAATCTGTTAGACCGTTGTCTTTGACTTTGAATAAAATTTCAGTGAATTGCAACATTTTTGTTTCACCAACGCAAGTACCTCAGTTTGTTTTCGTTACCTCAGCTGGTGATTGTTTTTTCGTTGTTGTCGCCCTTGAAAGCGATGAATTTATTCTGCGTTACCGTACTGTTCATCTTTTTTCTCTATCAGTTTACAGCTATGACAGCTTAAACGTGACCTGCACAACCATACTGTATCACCAGTCGCGCGGATGAGCAACGAACGCGTTCGACGTTAGGGCAGAGGGATTCTTTCGAATCAAATAGGCTGCAACTTATTCTGTTGTGCACATATAGCGTTAGATGGAATCGGACGATGGAACAGAAGGTGACAATTAAGAATTGTAATGTGTACTGTGTGTGAGAGTACAGGAACTTGTTAAGGAAACAGCAGTACTGTTTACACCTGACGGTCCCCTATGTGCATTGCAATAATAGCAATAATACTGAAGTTCTAAGTGGTATAAGTGTACAGAATCCTTCCTGTCACAGTTTTAAAATTGGCATTTTGTGTATGGGCTCTGCGCTTAGCTTGCAGTTACCTGAGTAACAGTCTTTGAAGAGAGTCATTTGAAAGTCTGTTATTAAGCGTTGGCCTTCAGACGGCTACATTTTAATGCTTCTCTTTGACTAGCAATCGGTCAGGTGATCTGGATTATTGCATCTTTGGACCTGATGGCCTGACAGGCCGGTCTAAACTTGCTTTCGGTTAAATACCTGGTGTATCATTCCGCTGTATTGCAAAATAAACCTTTCTTAAAGTTTATTATGGAACAGCTGTTTTTTACTAATGCCATATGGCTTATTTGATATAGACTTTGATTTAGTGACATTGCCGTTCTTTTGCTAGCTGCTAATACACGATTTCAGAGACCCTGTTGTGTCGTTGAAGGTACCTGTTATTGGTTTCAAACCACTGAATTGATACTGCCAGTGTGAATTTGTCAAGGCGGTTCACATGTAGACTCTGTACCTTATTGCTGTTCGTCTTGATAACTTTGTGTAGCCATGAGCATAATTTATTAGGTTAGGCTATTTATTTAGGCTACGTCATATAAAGTTTATTCAGGTTAATATTTATTCCGCTTGAAGAGCGCTTGGTCAGCACAAGTAGGAATAGTCTATTTTAATAAGCAGTGAAAAGGTTTAGGCATATTAGCCGTAAAGTATCTGCATGACTATCTCAGTCGTCAGCTAGACTGTACTTAATTGTTTGTCAAAATGAGCAGAGAATCTGATAGTTTTGTTGAGACTGTCAATATCATTTAAGCAAGACTCTAGAGTTTTTTGGCGTGTGTTTGCCTACTGCTATAGTTGTTCACCTATGCAATCGCGTTCTCTTATACTGACCGTATGAGAGAATGATTTGCGGATGGATCTAAGTAAAATAAGGGATCCTTATAAAATATGGTAATTCATATTCTTATGATTACTTTTTCGTAATGAGAATATCATTCGCATGTATTGATCATTCGTAAAATGTAGTACTAATTAGTGGAAGATTCGAAACATTTCTTCATAGAAAGTTTGGAGTATGGCAATAACGAGAGGAAACTTCACTGCTGTTTGCGATGTTTCTTGACTGAGTGATCCAGCAGATGCGAAGAAGTGAGCTACGACTGCGGTAACTGCGTAAACTGTCTTGCATCTGCGGATCACAGCTTACTGCTTTCAGAGAACTTCAAAGCTATGACATTGCTCTGAAACGGAAGCGTTCTGATCTTGATTAACTTAAAGAAGACGAAATGGATAAAAATTGATAAAACCGAGATCAAAGATCGGAAGTTGTAAAAATGGTACCAGAACATCTTTGTCTTGAGAGTTCATTGCCTGTTGATGGACGAACGACGCTTTATTTTAAAATTAATATCGAGGAACAAGTTATTCAAGGTCTAAAAGGACAAAGATGTTGGCAGTATGCCAAAGTTGTGAACATAAAGCGCATGAATTCTGAACATCTTGCTCTATGGCTTGGAGACGGCAGTATTTAACACAACTGAAACTGACAGAAATGAAAATGTTAAGATTACTATTAGGAGTTAAGTTGTACGGCGTGGTGTCAAATGCTGTTGTAAGAGACTAATTGGCATTTCCTGCGAGTAGACGATGGCCGCTTTGCAAAGCTGATACTGAACGCAAATCCTGATGGCAGGCGGCCGACAGGAAGACCTCATACAAATTTAGTAGCTTTCATTAGATCTGACATGATATCGAAAGGAGTGGTGAATACGCATTTATTCGATCCAGATAGAACACTTGTACGAAACCCTACATCGTCTTCGATCCATTGGTGTGAGAAGAAGGAAAAGAGTTAAGATATCACATTATGATAAAGGCAATATTATATGGCATTGCCGAATTTGGAGTCCAGCTATTAGAGCTTCGTGTATTGGCCGAGGACTGTAATCATTGGAAATACCCCCACCTCTTCCAGTCTCGTCATAAAGATGTTCCCCTGCAACTCGAAAGGAATAGCAGACTATAAAAATGAATGAACGTCGTTGGTAGTCTACTGCTTAAGCGAATTAGCATTTTATTTGTTTTATGCGGAAAAAATGTGATAGCAAATATGTTTTAAATTGCGCATATTAAAACATGCGCATAACTGTTTACTGTCGTATAACTTTCTTCATACAAAAATAAAAACAGTAAATATAAACTTAGAATTAGATTAGGCTATAATGAAAAAATTGTATGAAAACTTAGTAAACGTTTCCTTTATGAAATATGAAGGATGACGCTACGATACTCCACATATAAATGTGACAAATTTAATTTCTCTCTGTAAGATGACGTGTTTGCAAGTTTTTGACAAAGTTGTTAGTCTGATTTCTTTTGTTATTGGTTCCGCTGAAGTAACAGAATGGATGTTATTTTCTCCTGATATTCTTTGAGCACTGTTCGGAACTTCTGTCCATTTGATCAATGAATCGTTGCCTTTTGGAGGCAGTGATACAATGGGTTTGTAGATTTCTATACTTTAGAGGTGCTGAGTTCAAATTCCATGCGAGGGGTAAATTTTCTCCTACTAACTACTGTTTATCTTCGCAAGCAAGCAAGGAATTCGTCGCACCGTGCTTCGGTGAAACACGAATAGCCTGCGAGTGGCTGACCCAAAAAGCAGCAGTAGCATGGTGTTTTGGTGTGGTGATGCTGAATCTTGCGAAAGAAATGATCATGCTGTTTTATACGTTCATCTCCTTCACCCATCTGGCAGCTGACTAAAAATGAGCATAAGCTGTAAATGCCTATTTAAAGTTTCCTTTACAGGCAATACATAGACTTTACGGTACTCTTGTTCGAGATTAATGTAGACGTTGCCTGTGATCATTCAGTGTTGGTTTGAAGTTTCATATCTTTCTCGAAAATCGTGATGAGGTTTGTCAACCCTGTTATCATTGACTCATTGCCTGACCGTTTCGAGAGTTACAGTAAATCATTATGATTAAGAAGTACTCCCTATGTACTGCTTTATGACTGGTATGAGATTTCATACTTTAATTTTTAGCCATTGTCGCAACAGGGACCGTGAGGCTTGTTGCGTGAAACTGACTACGAATAACGTCTAGTTTCTCTGCAATATATCAGGGTAAACACAGAAGAGAAGCGCCTTGAAAAGTTGTTGGACACTTTTCAGCAGCGCTGTTTGTGGAGCATTCTGAAAGTGCGATGGTTGCAACGAATGAAGAACTGAAAGGTCATGGAGATGACTGGCTTAAGAATGCTGTCTGAAGGATCAAGGATCGGCTTGTGTCTTGGTATGACAGAACCATCCAAAGTAAGAATGAAGACCTATTCAAAGCCGTTCTCCACTGGAAAGCAAACCTTGGTCGCGGACGCATTCGAGGCCAACATCACATCTTAAAACAGCTGCTAGAGGCAAACTTGCTGGCCAAAAAAGCATTTTCTTTGCTGCAGCAGCTAATATCACCAAAATCATACTGATAAGCCAAAGATTCAGGTATCATTAATTTGAGTACTCGGTCGATGGCCCTGATATCTCAGAGGACAGTGACAACAACAGCAAATACAGACAAAACCATTTTATGTGCTGATGAAGATAATCTGGTTGCTACATGTGTGGGTGGCCACCTTGTTGATCAATGTTGCTATGAAATAATACCTGTCATATAATGCGTACAACTGATATCTACCTACATTGAACCTGAAAATGGTATGACAAGGCTTTCTAGCATGTGTTCTATTCATTCTTTTGTGCATCTGACAGCATGACAACATGGTATAAAATGTTTCATTGTTACGTCTGTATTTGTATTTATTGACATGTATTTAGTTTTGTATTTTCAGTTATTTGAGAATGCTGCCATTTCTTTGCCGTTCTGTGTGTTCCCGCCTTTGTTCTGATCGTTTGGGCGTTACATTGAATACTTATTTGAAAAATCTTTTACGGTAAGTCTTCTGTAAACTAAGTGAAATTGAATAGAGTAACCAGAGATTTCAGCTTCATCAGCGTTTAGGTATTTCCTGGGATATTAATCGTATGTAATAACTGTCGGCAGAACATGGATTTAACTAGTTCATGACGCTTAAACAAAATTTGAAATATTTATTCTACTTCGCCCAGTTATTGTATAGTGAATCATAAAGTGGGCATTTTAACTTGGCGGTCTTGTTAAACTAATTGCACTGATTGTAATGGATGGGCTACCGCGTCACCAAATAATAAAGGTGGCACGGTGTGTCAGAGCATTTGCTAATCGTAATGTTTAATGACATTTGAGTCGTTAGCTGTTAAGTAATATAACTTAAGCATTATTCATGCAGTAGTCTCATCTAAGTTCGCA